TTATGGACCGCATAGGCTAGTTTATCCCCTTGTGGTCTTTTATCGACTAGGGTCACAAGGAGGAGGTTTTACCTAGAGCGCATATAACTATGAGTAACCTAAGTTGGGTTAGTTTCTTGTGGTCTTTTACAAGTTAGGATCACAAGGATGGAGCTTCACTCGTAGCGCATATTTGGTTAGCGGCTATGCGCTTTAGCAAGCCTACAAGACAATTGAAATAAAATATATCTAATAATAATATAAAATAAAGTACTTGTCCAACCAAACTCCATTATATATAGGTTGCAATTTATAAATACACCTAATTTATACAATGTGAAAATTCATCATTCAACATCATATCATTACAAAATTTTAGAGATATGATTTTGGTTTCATTATTTGTAGAGTAATTGAGCGTGTTGTGGATTCATTTGTCAATCGTACTTGATTGAATAGTAACAAGTTAAAAAAAAAAAAAAAAAAAAAAAAAAAACCTAGAAAAGTACAAAACCACCACCACGCCAACAATTACTTTTACTAGAGATGTCATGTATTATTTCTAATATATATATATATATATATATATATATATATATATATATATATATATATATATATATATATATTCTTCCCAAAAGGTTGAATCCCCGGCCCAATCACAAAGATCCCGGTCCGACTGAGCATCTGGGAAGATGTAAATCATGGTAACTCAGCTTAATCAGAGGCTAAATTTTTGCTTACTGCGCACAATGAGCCCTTCTCACTTTGAGGGGTTATTGCTACATTGCCGCGGATGAGACTCGATTCCTTGTCATTCTTTCCAAACTTCACCCCTGTAACGAACTGAACTGCACATGGATTTCTAATATATATATTGTCTATATATCTTGTTTTCTAATCCTAGCTAGCTAGGGCAAGCATGATTATTAGTGACCACTTAAAGACAATTTGTGCCATTAAATGGAAACGACAGCTCGCTAAAAACGTGGATGATGGTTCTCCAGAATGCTAGCTAGCTAGATCAGACAGCACAAAAATTCCAAAGGCTGTATTATTGTTGTTGTTAATGTTTTATTAGTGTATATATATATGCATATATATGTAAAAACAAATGAAGATCAAACGATCGACGGAGGATATAGGGACGTGCCACATAAATAACCACATTCATTCCCTTCCCTTATCCTCTCCCATTTTACAATCATTGCACGGAATCAAATAATCAAAATTGTGCGACACGAACTTAACTCAATAATTCAATAGGCACTATTTGGGAGAAGAGATAAATGTTCGAACCTTGCCAACGACAGTGTGAAATTATGTTCAAAATGGACAGATCTCTTGTGAGCACTGACATTTGGCAATATCTACTGAGCCATTGAGTCATCGTGATTTATATTATTCCAATGCATATTCGTTAGATATATCTACCGAGCCATTGAGTCATCGTGATTTATATCATCCCAATGCACATTCATTACGAACAGATATTGGTGAATTGAAACTCTGAGCTTTTATATTGGAGCAGAGTATATCACCCCAATGCACATTCGTTACCCAAAAGAACATTGGTGAATTGAAACTGTGAGCTATTATATTGGAGCAGAGTTTAACCAGTACACATTATTGAGTAGTGGTTATAAGTTTCTTCATCACTAAGAAATAAAAAATATATTATTATATTAGTGAAACTTTGGGATTTAGGCTAATGTAAAAAAAAAAAAAAAACTAATAAAACCCTGGACAGTGTTTCGTATGCCAAAGTACATGTTTTGTAAAAATAAAATAAAATAAAATAGTTTTATCTTATCGTTACTAAAGTGGAATACTTGTGCATAATTTTATGATAAGCAAACAATATGTATGGTTAATATGCCATGATAGATTAAATCAAATGTAACACCAAATTAAATAATCTAAATAATATTATCTTTATGTATTTATATTTTAGCTAATTAACAAAAGGTAGCTAGTAAACAGTTGAGACGCACTAATCAGAAATTAAATTGTGTGTTTGTTTTTTAATGAATTGAATGCTAATTGTGAACAATTGTATCCCTAAAGATACCATTATTAATTAATTAAATCCAAGCAATAATCTCTTCAATTGATGCCCCCTTCCAATAAATATTCCTCACCTCCCTTTATTTAAATTAAAGTTCTATGTTTCCTCTTATAATTATGGCTTAAGTAAAGCATCATAGTATATTATAATAATACTAATAATTATTATTATTAGTTGGTCCACTAATATATACTAATCTTCATTAACAAGGCCCTTTATCATTCAATCCATCATCTCTCAAGTCTCAACCAATAGTAGTACGCAGTCCACATCACTCCTTGACCGGTGGTTATAGGGCTCAAGATTGAAGGCTACGAAAAGAAAAAAAAAATAGATGAAACATAACTTGAATTCAAATATTTTTTTGATTGAGCTCAACTCGTTGTTCAAAATTTATTGTGCTATTTATTTTTTCTGTGTGATTTACTGTCTATTGCACAAGAATATGATTTATCCCGTGTATACCCTCTGCTTGCGCGTAGTGACTAAAGATTAAAACATTTGGCCAACACTCTTTTTTGCTTTGATATGTGATAACCATATTAAGTAGATTATTACACAATAACAAATTAAAGTTTATCCCATGCACACTTTCAGATAATTACTAAAGATTAAAATATTTAGCAAGCACCTTTTACCTTCGATCCCGGATGACCGTATATTAAATTATTATTTAATTAAAAATTAAGTTATTATCCGATACTATTTAAAATAAAACTCTCTCAACGCTTATTATGTCATTCAAAACGTTCAAAATCGGATTTGATAGTTTTGTAAAACCCCATTTTTTGTCACTTGAATTACGAATCTTTAATGTGTATGCATGAGTTATGGTATACATGGCACCAATTATTTGGTGCATGGTACAAATAAATTTAAATTGTGATTCAATATATTCTTATGTTCAAGGAGAAAGAGAAGGGCTTTTGACCCATGCACCATTAAATGAAAACATAAATAAAAGTTGACATTTTGTTTTTGTTTTTTTTTTCTAACAAAAATATTAAAGGAACATTTAATGTTACGCTATACTATACATGTGAGGAGTCGAGAATTCAATCCGTAATATTATCTTAGGTAAGTTCACAAAGTTACACCGCTTGATAATAAGATTTGTAACATTATATTTTGCTGTACATTAAAAATGTGACGCTATCTGTTATATAAATATGAAGAAATAAAATTACACTATTCTTGTTAGTTATGAAGTTATTGCAAAAAATTTTGATAAGATATTACTCGAGTTGGTTTATATTAACACCTCTCGACTTAAGGGTAAGAATTTTATTTTTGGGGGCAACCCCCAACCAAGTTGGCTGAACGATTAGCTTGATTCAACCATAATGTTTTAAGTTTGACTTCATGTGAGCGTTATTTATTAGTCTTCTTGATTTGAGCCAGTCAATTATGAGCAACCTAGGTTGTTTAACTCTTTGTGATCCTTTGCTAGCTAGTACACTTTACCACAAGGCAAACTTCACCCATAGTACACATTTAGATAATAATTACAGATTTTCGGGTATGTCAAATAATTTTATGAACAGACCGAATTGCCCTTGAGAAAACGGCATTAGATGGCCAAATGTAACAAAAGAACCATAGATGGTTATAAACAAAAAGTAGGAGGACTGGAAGTGGTTGATTTAAAAGGTGAGGACTAAAAGTGATAATGTCACCAAAGTCGGAGAATGTCCACTGATATTTACTCTTATTATATGTTACAATAGTCAATTAGAATATAATGTAGAAAAAAGTAAAATTATAAAAATTTAAATTGACCGAAATATACAAACAGGTGGTGGGCCGTTCTTCCCACCAATCCACGTGCTCTGATGCCCTGTGGTCTATGAAAGTTCATACTCCACGGCCCTAAAACATTATTACTTCATCCGACTATTTTGTCTTTTTTTTTTTCTCCTAAATTTTTTTTTAAATTGATTTTATAAAATTACTTTTATACCCTTACTAGAAATTTTGAGTCACTTCTGAAAGATTTTTGTCCAAAACTTTATACTCTAGTGGCATTAGTTTGTAATCTACTCCCCGGCCATCATAAAATGAACAACTTGGTGTTCTCTTTAGGCTTTTGATTGATTTTAAATAGAAAGAATATGAGGAACTAATTATTTAGGATTTTATGAACAAAAATGGGAGAAAAATCCGATAATCAACTTATGCATAAAATTTAGTAACTCGAATTTGGAGAAATCTTTATGACTCCCCATCTCACATCGAGTATACATAGATGGAAGATAATCAACTTATGCATAAAATTTAGTAACCCGAATTTGGAGAAATCTTTATGAGTCCCCATCTCATATCGAGTATACATAGATGGAAGATAGACTAGGAACACGGGGGGCTACGTATAGTCTTTTTTTTTTTTTTTTTTTTTTTTAAATTTTTATTTTATATCAACAATGATTGGGCGCTTGAGTTTAACCCTTCTTTTGATAGAAAAATAGAAAATATATACAAAATCAATAATTTGAGGTCTTTTGAACAGTAATCCTCTATCAACTCTATTAAAACCGTTGTTGCTATTTGTTGCTTTAAACTAAAAAGGAAAGATAGGTTAATAGTTTAAGCGGTTAGTAAGCATATTACTAATATAATTGCAAAATTGAAAAGAGCGTGTGAGTTGAATCTGAATTAATCTTATAGTAGTGATGATACTAAATGTTGCACTAAAAACAAAAAAGAATAAAAGATATAAGTGGTACAATAATTGATTGGACAAAGAAATAAAGTTATTGTTTTGTAATACTTCAATTAAATAGCTTTTGCTATTTTATTATTGATTATTGAAGTATCCAATGAGACAAACAAACAAACCCAAAAATAAAATTAAAAAAAATTATTTCATTTTAAAAAGAACATTTTAATTTGAGTAAAATAGAATTTAAAAAATAGCGCAGTAGTTAGTGGTATAGTGATGTGTATATGATGCATCTCCGTCTCCATTCTCGTCCACCCACACATTTAAAAGAGGGCAGACACCTTCGCTCCCGTGATTCCCTTTCAAATCCCGCACATCTAAACCATCAGAGAATCACTTCAGAGGAGAGGCTTCTGGAAATTGTTCCTTCCTTTTTACGGTACGGATTGTTTTGTTCATATGGATTTTAATTGTGATTTATTATTGCTTAATTAATCTCATACTTGTTATGCGTTAATTGATGTTTAGTTAGACGGTAATTAGGAGTTGTTAGTTCTGTTTCTTTGAATCTGTCGGTACTTGTTGATTCTGATCGGTTATTCATTCATCGAATCCACAGATCATCTGTTCATCTATTCATATCCGCCGTGTGAACAGAGAGTGTTGAATCGCGAAATCCTGATCTGATTAGTTCGGTTCGGAATTCGGTGTGCAGAGTCTGATCGAATCGGCGGTGTTGATGGCGTCGAGTATGGTGCCGAATACGGTTACGAACACGGGGAGTAGAGCGGCGGCGAGGAGGAGGAAGAAGAAGAGAAGCCAGGTTCCGAGTGCGCAGAGTCAAGATGCGAGCAATAGCAGCTCGGCTGATGAATGGAAATCCGAAGCTCAACAGCAGGTTTACTCTTCGAGGCTTCTCGGAGCGCTGCGAATGCTCCGGCTAAGTCCGCCTTCTTCGCCGGCGGCGCCGAAGGGCGGGAGAGCGGTGCGAGAAGTGGCGGACAGAGTTTTGGCGGTTACGGCGAAGGGGCGTACCAGGTGGAGCCGCGAGATCCTCACCAACCGCCTCAAGCTGAAGTTTATGAAGAAGCACAACAAGAGGCAGAGAGTGGTGGCGGCGGCGGCGGCGAGAGGGAACAGCCGGTTGCCGAAGAAGCCGAGATTGAGTATTCTCCGGCTGAAAATGAAGAATTTACCGACCGTACAGAGAAAGGCTCGCGTTTTGGGCCGGATTGTTCCCGGCTGCCGGAAGGAGCCGCTGCCTGTGATTCTAGAAGAAGCCACTGATTACATAGCCGCTCTGGAGATGCAAGTCCGAGCCATGAGCGCTCTAGCCGATCTGCTTTCCGGCGCTTCTTCTTCTAGCTCAGCTCCTCCCACTTGATGACGCCATTCATTTTCCTATTTTAATTTTAATTTTTCTTTTTCTTTTTCTTTTATCCCTTTTCGTGTCCTATGAATATTCCCTGTTAAATACAATTCCTACTGGGTGCAACGTATATTTTCAACCGAAATTAAATCAGTAAATAATAACTATGAAATATTGTGCCTTAGTTGCAAAGCTTTAGATTTCACAACTCTTTTTATAGCTATTTACTTTTCAGTCCAATTAAAATTGCGATTTCAGATCCACACCTCTTCTCATACTTGCTGTTTACTCCTTCAATTAAAGTTGTGATTTTAATCTGCCCATATTTGATATTTTCATTGGGTAGTTTCAGTCAAGTTGGTCAAATTGTTGACTTTATAACAGCAATGTCTTACCTTTGCTGGTTAAGGGTCGTTATGGTTATGGTCAGAAGACGAGATTTACATTGTGCATACCAATGAGTATTGACGTAGACAATTATCAATTTTTATTTTTATCTTTGACTATAATTTTTTATATTCGATAACATCATTTTGAAAGCTCTCATGACGTATAAAGTTCCGTCCATAGCGTTAAATTCATTTCATTTGGACCATATTCATTTGCCATCGGATTCATGTATGAATATGTTTGACACTTAGATCGCAACGTCTTTGTTTCTTAACCAATTTGAGGTGGATGCAGTGCTGAAGCATCAATGAAAATGACTTGGGAAGCCAAATTTAGACTATAAATTTGTAAATTTTTTATGAGTTGTTACCAGTAGAAATACTGTGCAGAGACAAAAATCAGCAGGCCAGGGGAATAGTAGTTAATAGATATATTCTGTACATGATAAAAGTTGATGAGCAATTGGAACACATCATGTATGGTAGGGATTGGTAGCTCAACTTCATTCCCTACTCTAAACTTTTATTCAAAAAGTGAGTTATTCCCCATGCTTGTAAAAAGTTTGCATGTGAGATATCTGACCTAAACTCATAAAGGGTTGCATACCCAAATATACCCATATATATTATTTACGAGAAAGTCCGTAATCATTCGTTACTCAAATTTATACTACGGGTGAAGCTTGGCCGTTTTATGATCATAGCCGATAAATAATCACAAGAAGATAAACCAGGCTAAAAAAACATATGACTGACCAACTTAACCCGAGAAGGTCAATATACAACTTTCAAATCAGACCGTATAATTTCTTGGGCTTTATTGGATTATATTGCCCATTCCCCACCTCCAAATTACCAATACACACTAGTGGAGATTCAAAATTTGACATGTTGATCCCTAAGTTATAGAGTGATTGTAGGATTCGTTCTTACTTGTTGGTCGTACTCACTTCTCGTTTCTAAGCTATAATTGAGATTGGAAATTTCGTCCTTTTTTTTTTTTTTTTTAACAAAACATTAGAGACAAAATTTGTAACGTCAGTTATAGTTTAGGGACTAGAAGTAAACATGAACTATTAGAAAAATGACGAAATTTACAACACCATTTATAACTTAGGAATGAGAAATCAGCACGACCACCAAGTAGAAATAAATTCTACAATTACTCTATAACTTAGGATGAAAAATACAATTTTTTTGTAAATTAAATAGCAATGTATTCGCCAAATACCTTGTGGTCAAGCGGCATGTAAGTGACTTTTCCAAATGAGAGGTCTGAGCTACTGAGTCACCGTAATTTACATAATTTCAAATGTTTTATTCTTCTCCTAAATTCAAATGTTTTATTGAGTCAGGATGTGAGAACCTTAGCTTTGTGGTTGGGGGTTCAACTTTTTTGGGAGAAGTTTAAAAAAGAATCCCTCAAATGTTATTAAAAAAGCATCTGAATGCATTATCTTTAACAGTAGTCTTAGGGTTGAGTCAACTAAATAACTGTATGAATGTTTGTTACGGAGTATTAGGTTTTTCTGTACATGCAATTAAATGTTGAGCTTAAAAGTAAATAAATAAAACATGTTTCACCAGGACTATATGGTCCAATGGTATCCGGGTTGGACTTTCATTTGGAAGGTTATGAGTTCGAGCCTCAGTGGAGGCGTTATTAGTTCTTTGTGTTCCAGTAGGTTGAGAAAGTATATGAACAGATAGATACTACATTGTAATAGAGCTAGTAGCATTCAAAAAAAAAATAAAACATGTTTCTTTAATTTGGCGTTATTGGATTTGAAAAGTTAATGAATAAAAAAAAACAATAACAGTTACACACTAGAGTAGGTAAGAGATGATGGCCCTTAGCTTATTTAATTAATATTCTTTGAACATAGAAGTGATTTTACAAATTAGGTGGTAATACTAATATTGAGCAATTGGATAAGTGATATAATTTTTATCATATTAAATGTGTTAGGAAAATAAGAAAAAAAAAAAGGTAATATGCAATAAAAATGCTTCATATATTCAATAATGGTACTGGTTTCAAAAAAAAATAAAAAATTCAATAATGGTACAACCCAAACTCGAGAGCATATTTTCGGTTCACGCTTCATATAACATTTATTATAGAGGGATGCATTTACACCTAAATTAAATTTTCTGTAAATCGCACATGAAATGAGAAATTGCCTTATGATGATTTTGTTGTGAGCGAGTTCACCATAAATCAAGTGTGGAGGTACAAAATGGGGTAGGAAAATAGTAGATTTATTATCCGGGACGTTAGGTCCAAAATAGTACGTACAAAGTCTGAGACTCCGGTCTAAAATGACGGTCCAAAGAATAAATACTATAACCTAAGGAATGAACTAAGAATAATATCATAGTTACTAGAAATTGAACCCTAGTATGCTAGTTAAAGAGAGAAGGCACATACCACCAAGCTAGTAGGTGTATTGTGTCCTAAAAGATAATGTCCTAACATGCCAAATCCCCTCCTTTTATATTGTACTTCAACCTTTGGATGTCGTCCACTTGTACAGAATCCAGGGCTCCTCATTTCCCTCCAACCATGTGTGCCACGTTCCCAGACTCACCTACACATACGCCATCCCTCTATCTGCATCAGAACGTCTTCACCACCCTAGCCACACACATATACATCTTTAATACTGTGCCCCCTTTCTGGTGGGGTGCCGTTGCCACACCCCGGGGCGCACTAGGCCCGTTGGGGGTGCCATGGCCGGAGGTTGCCTGCGGACCACGCCGCCGTCCGATCATGGCGAGTTTGTAAAGCTACCAGCTTACGAAAGTAGGAACAAATATAAAAAGTAACGCTTTAGTACATATGAGATGAGGTGACCTGGTAGATAGTCCAGGGTCGCACATGTTATATTGGCGATATTGGGTTTGATCTCTATTGGTAGAACACCCTTTTACTATTTTACTCCAAGGCTCCAAGCTATGGTGTGGTGCTTGTTGCCTTCACTCGGCGCCATCGGAATCCCCGCCACATATTTGCCCCAACGAACTCTTTCTCTCTCTCTTCTTATCAGTCGGTCGGAATCATCGCGGCGGGTTTGCTCCGACGAACTCCTTCAATTCTCTCTCTTCTTTTGTATCTTTCTGGGCTACCATGCCTTTCTAGCCCAACAAGATTTGAGCCAACCTCCTTATTTCACTACGCCACTTGGACCAAGACTTTCTCAATAAAATGGGTCTGGGGTCCCATGACCCCATCAATTCGCCAAGATTATTTATTTTGTCTCGTTCCTATTGTATTTTCAAGGCACTATCCTATATAATAGTCGTTCAAGTCTGATTTCTAGTAATTTTATATATATAGTTGTTGTGCATCCATGTAATACTTATGGTGCATTCCTTCATATTAGAAGTTCGTATGGGAAAACTGATTCTTATTTAAATGCAACTATATATACATACATATATACATACATACATATATATATATATATATATATATATATATATATATATATATATATATGATATATGGAGTGAGAGAATTGATTGGAAGTTTATGGTGATAGGGTATGGGATAGGGAGTCCATGATGATTGAATGATGGACCACAGCAGTCAGCAGCTAGTCTGCCTGCATGTGTAATTTGGTAGTCTTAACTAATCCAGAGGCCATCAAAGTCAGCATGCAGCTGCAACTGTATATATATATATATATATATATATATATATATATATATATATGTACACATTTGGAATGCAGCTGTTTGGTATGCTTTCACCATGTGCCCATCAAACCCCAGATAACTTGCCCATCCCATGTGCCCTCCATTAATGCCACTTTTCAACTTTCTACAGTTTAGAGCACAACACTTAACACTACTGTACTCCTGCCAATACCACCCTAGCTAGGCCTCAATCATCCATTTCTTCATCTTTACTTTCTTCAACCCTTCAAAATTTTGAACCATGTGTATGTAGTAATGTAACATCCTTAGCTTGCAGAGCTGGCTCTGGATAGGAACCGATCGAGACTCGATTGAATTTAGTCTTATTCTGTGAAATGTAAAGTAATAATACACAGTGGATGATTAAATTATTTATCTATTCAAAATTTTTAACCAACATAACGTCTTTGGAGAACTGCCCTTGAATAGGGTCCGACCAAGAATCGATTAGATTAGTTTCATCCAATGGGAGGTAAGAGAGTATGTAACAATGTATAGTAGTGAATGATCAAATTCTTTATCTATTCAAAATGTTGAACTATGTCTCTATAGCTATGTAATGTTCTTAGAGAGCTATCTAGCTACAAATAGGATCCGACTAAGATCAGACTCGACTGGATTATTAGTGTCATTCTACAAGATGTAAGGCAATAACACATAGTCAATGGTCGAATTCTTTATCTATTCAAACTTTTGAACCAATGTAACATCTTTGGAGAGTTGCTTCCAAATATGACCCTATTGAGACTCTGCGGATCGGATTAGTATCATCCCACGTGATGTAAGGCAATAACAAAATAGTAAATGATCGAATTCGATCTTTATCTATTCAAAATTTTGTACCATGTGTCTATGTAACAAGGTAACGTTCTTGGAGAGTTGCCTAGCTCTAAATAGGGTCTGATCAAGACTCGACTAGATTAGTTTTATCTCACATAATGTAAGACAATAACAACATAGTATATGATCATGCTCTTTATCTATTAAGAATTTTGAACTATGTCTATGTAGCAACACCCTTAAAAGAGTTATCTTTGAATATGATTTGATCAAAATTCGATTAGATTAATTTAATTTTTGGATAAAGGAGAAATATAATTG